TTCTCTTGATCCTATCCCCAACAACTTCTCGAGCAAACTGCCCCCACCGGCCTCTTCACTCTCACCAACCCTGGCCACCGCCTCCCTCCTGCTGCCAACAGACGCCTTGAAAACCCCATTTTACCCCCTATCTCCCAAGCTGTGGTCCTGGATCTCTCCTGCCCATCTAGTCAAACTCCTCGAGAAATCCGCTTGGACTCAGGACCTCCACTGTGCCATCTCTCAGTCGATTCTAAAACCCTCTGCATTTGGCTTCCAGCTCATTCTTCTACTGAAACCAGGGGCCAGTGGCCTTTTCTCAGTGCGCGTGCTTCTGGACTTGGCAGCACTTGACCCTCGGGATCATGCTTCTCCTCCGGGACAGTCTCTCCTCTCCAGGTTCTCTCCTCCTCCTCCATCTCCTTCGCTGCGTCTTCAGCCAGGTCCTGCCCCCCAACCAGAGGCGGCCCCCTCCATTGGCCCCCTGGGTGATCTCATCAGCTCCCAACCCAATACCCCGTCTCCTGCCTGGCTTCCTTTGGGCTCTGCCCCATTTCCCTGGCTTCCTTCATGACTCAGCTCATGTCCCACCTTCTGCAGGAAGTCCTTCCAGGTCCCCTTACCTGCCAGGGCCTTCCTTTCTCAGATTGGCTTCCATCCTCCCGAATCTAACCTTGATCTAGCGAGGCACTGACATGTCGCCTCCCCCATTCCAATGGAAGCTCAATGAGGGTGGGGGGACTGCTTCTGCCTTTCTATGTAACCTCAGTACAATGCTGGGCACGCAGACATTGTCTAATAAATGCCTGTTGAGAGCCTGCTGTTCAACTGTACAAGAACATTTAAATCAGCAAACGTAAAATAAACGTGAGGTCCATCTGGGCAGAGCACCAGCAGCTCAGGGACCCCCAAAGTGCGCCTAAAGGAGAAGGCCTTTGGAGTGAGCTCCGATGGCCATTCTAGGAGGTCAGGCACGGCAAGCAGGCTGTTCAGAGGTACACAGACCGGGGACGTATAGGAGGCAGAACAGGAAGGCCAGCTTGGCCAGACCACGAAGGCTCGGCTTCTGTCCTCAGCGGCGCGGCAAGGGAGAGGACGAGCCCCTCGACTCAGCGTGCGGGGGACGCCCCTGAACGAGGAGTCCCCCGACGAGGCTTCCTCACCCAACTCCAGATGCCCACGCTCGCCAGCACCCTCACGCCGACTCGAGTCTTCTTCTCTTCTTGCTGGCAGCGCCCCCGCTCTCTGAGGACTCTCCCCCTCCAGGCACTGCCTTCACACTCCCGAGGCCTCCACTCTAACCCCCCTCCTACACACGCACACCAGAACAACCTGTGATCATTCTCCAAAACTGTCCTTTACCGATGGGGCAGAGGCAGGATGTCATTAAGGTCAAGCTACTGCCAGAGGAATGACCAAGTGGTGGAAGGTGCGTGCACCTCAAGACACGAAGCACTCCCCTGCACCCAAATACTGGTGAAGCAACGCACAGAGTGCCTGGCCTGGAGTCAGGAAGACTAGAGTTCAAATCCCACCTCGGACACTATGTGACCCTGAGCGAGTCACTTTAAGTCTCTCAGTTTCCTCATCTGTAAAATGGGAACAATAACAAGGCCTACCTCCCACGACTGTGGTGAAGATGAGATGTGTGTAACGTACTTGGCAAACCTTCAAGCGCTCTCACACACACACACACACACACACACACACACAATCTGCCATTAAGTTACACTGAGGATTCCATTAGTTTGCATTGGATGTCATTAAGGTCAATTAGGCAGCTAGCATTTATTAAACACCTACTATGTGCCAGGCACTGGCTAAGCACTAAGGCCAGCCCCTGCCCTCCAGGAGCTCCCAGTCGAGCAGGGGAGACAACATGCAAACAGAACGCAGGCAGGAGAAGCTAGAGACGACTGACCAGAAGAAGGCACTTCCTGCAGAAGGAGGGACATGAGCTGAGCCATGAAGGAAGCCAGGGAAATGGGGCAGAGGTGAGGAGGCAGAGCACGCAGAAAGCCGGGCCGGAGAGGGGGCGTCAGGGGGCCAGCGGGGCTGCTCTGGGGAGTCTGTGGAGGCAAGTAAAGGGCAAGAGGAGAGGGCTGATGGTGCCGCACTGGAGAGACGGAGGGGGTGCAGGATGAGCTCGGTTTGGGGTACGTCAGCTGGGACTGTAGCTTAGCAGAGACTAGGGCTGGCGAGAGATGCGGGAGTCAAAGGTCTCAAGATGATCAAGGGAGATCACTGGAGAGGGAGAAGAGCCCAGGGGGACGGCCAAGGCTGGGGGCAGGACCTGAGGAGGGACAGCACTCCAGACACGAAAAACCAGAGGACATGCCTGGAGGCGGGGGATGGCGGGGCTTGTCCGTGGGCCAGTCAGACGCGAGTATCACCAGACCGAGGAGCACTCGTCCTGGAGTAAAGCAGAAGAGGACGGGGGGCTTTGAATGCTAAACAGAGGATCTCAATTTCAGTGTAAAGGCAATAGGGAGCCACTACAGTTGCATGCCTGGCTTTCCGAGCCGGTCAGACCTTTGCTTTCGGAATAGCGACTTGACAGCAGAGCAGACGATGGACTTGAGTGGGGAAGGAGCAGGGAGGCCGGCCAGAAGCTACAGTCACCCGTGTCCGGCCAAGCCAGGCAGAAGCCAGGGCACGCCACCGTTACCTAAAGCTGCTCAGGCCGCCCCAGACAACCCATCACGGCCTCCTGCCACATCACGGGCCTCCCCAGACGCCACGCTCTGGCAGAGCTGATCAGCAACCACCTGAGAACCCCTCGGCACGCTCCCGCCCCCCTCCCTGGGCCCCCCCCCCCCACTATCCTCACCTGGCTCAGCTTGGCTCAGCCGCCCTCTCCCAGAGGCCTCCATCGTCCCAAGCACCATGTCAAAGCTCTCCTCTGCCTCCATCACGCCCAGACCCTCAGCTTGGCTCCCCGAGATAAGGAAATGTCTCATTCCTGCATCTTTGCACTTCTGGTGCCCAGGCCACCACGGCAGTCCCCACCACTGCCCAGGCATCTCTGCCCTGACAACGATGAGGGGGAACCCCTGCGGCCCAGCGGGGCAAGTGCTTATGAAGCACGTCTGACAGACAAGGCTGGTGCAAGGGACGGGGGACGGGAGGCGGGACGCGCGCTGCTGCAAGGCCCCCCCGAAAGCACAGAGGGCTCAGGAGAAGCGAGGCACCCACACTGGGCTTGAGCAAACAGCCAGATAGCCACTTGGGAACGTCCTCCCGTGGACAGAGGACTCCAGGCTTCCCATCATACCCATTGTACAGAAGTCCCCTGACTTCCTGAGGGCTCTGGCAGAGGCAGGATGTCATTAAGGTCAAGCCAGGCTTGACCCCAAGTCCTTTGGACCCACGAGGAACTAGGGAAGGAGGCGTGGAAGTGGCTGAGATCAACGTGGGGAAGGGAGAGGAAGAGGCCTAAGGGAGGCCCCAGGAGCCGCCCTCTACCCCTCTCGAGCACCCTGGGAGACACCAAAGTAGGACAGGCCTCCGCAGGCCGGGTCAGTCCTCACAGCTGCCCAGGGGCACCCAGTCAGCAACAACCACTGAGGCCAGGAAGCGCAGGGCCCTCCCAAGTCCGGCCCACCCAGCAGCACCCAAGTCAGCAACAGGAAGGCAGCCTACGGGGCAGGTCACATGCCACCCCAGGAGCCTAGCAGGAAACTTCAGTCCCCTGGGGCCACACCCTGCTGAGCTGCCCAGGGGTCAGGAAGGAAGGTGTGGGTGCCCGCGGGACCCCCCCAGGGTCTGGCCCAGATGCCTCCTGCCCCACTGTCTAACTTCCTGCTGCGTCTTCACCAGCCCCCCCTAAAGGTCAGGGTACCAGTCCTGACTTGGGACACTCGTGAGCTGTGTCAACACGGGAGCAAGTCATGGAATGACCCTGTGCCTCAGTTTGCTCATCTGAAGAACGGGAGCAATGATGCACTTCCTCCTTCATTCCATACTGTAGCTGGCACAGAGGATGAAAGTGAGTTCTTAGGAGAGAGGCAGGGCAGCTCGGTGGAAAGAGCTGGAGAAGGGGAAACTGAGGCCCAGGGAGGTCAGCACCCTAGGGAAGTATAGCCCCCCCAAGTTACAGAGGAGGAAACTGAGGCACAGGGAGGTCAGAACCCTAGGGAAGTAGAGCCCCCCCCAAGTTACAGAGAAGGAAACTGAGGCACAGGGAGGTCAGGACCCTAGGAAAGTGTAGTCCCCCCCATAAGAACGGCCCTCATGAGCAGGGAATGTCACCACCCTCAAGTTACAAAGGGAAAAACTGAAGCACAGGGAGGTCAGGACCCTAAGGAAGTAGAGCCCCCCCCCAAGTTACAGAGAAGGAAACTGAGGCCCAGGGAGGTCAGCATCCTAGGGAAGGGCCTCCAGGAGCAGGAAATGTCACCCCCTCAGCTACAAAAGGGGAAACTGAGGCCCAGGGAGGTCACGACCCTGGGGAAGTGTAGCCCTCCCAAGTTACAGAGAAGGAAACTGAGGCCCAGGGAGGTCAGCAACCTAGGGAAGGGCCCCCATGAGCAGGGAATATCAATCCCCCCAAGTTACAAAGGCAGAAACTGAGGCACAGGGAGGTCAGGATCCTAGGGAAGTGTATCCCCCCCCCCCAGTTGGCGGGGGGAGAAACTGAGGCCCAGAGAGGTCAGCACCCTAGGGAAGGGCCCCCATTAGACCGGAATGTCAGCCCCCCCAGCTTCAAAAGGGGAAACTGAGGCTCGCAGGGTGCAGGGCCGTGCCAGGGTGACCGGCTTCGGCTCCTCTGCCCCGATGACCTCCCCGCCAAGTCGGAGTTTTCTTACTCTTTGCGCGGAGGAGGAAACTGAGGCTGAGCGAGGCAGGGGTGGGGGCAGGGCTTGGACCCGGTCTCTTTCCGCCCTCGGCCTACTCCTCTTCTGAGCCTCAGTTTTCTCCTCTGTAAAATGGGTTCGAGCAGCCCCAGCCGGCAGGGGCGTTCAGGGCGGCCCCACACTGACCCCTGACCCCTGACCCCTCGCCCCCGGCGCCCCGCCCACCTTCCCGGGAGCCTGTGGCTGCTCCGCTTCCAGAACTGCCTCCGCGCCCCGTCGCTGGCCATGGTCCCTCCGCATCCCTCAGGCGGCCCGACGACGCGTCCCGGATGCGGCCGGGCCCGATGCCGGAGCTGCCCTCCCTGGCCGGACGCCGCCGCCGCCGCCGCCGCCGCCGCCGCCGCCCCCGAAGCCTCGAATCCCCTCCGAGCCCGGCGCCCAGCGGCGCTTCCGCCTCCAGCAGGAAGTTTGGCTCTCGAGACCGGAAGTCCCGCCCCTGCTCCCCTCCCTCCGCCTCCGTGCGTGAGTGGGCGTGGCCTCACGTGAGGCGCAGGCGTCTACGTCATATAAAAGGGGCCGCCGGGCGCGCAGGCGCTCAGTGGGAGCTGCGGGAGCGGGCCAGGAGGCGGACGCGGAGGAGGTGACGAGGCAGGAGGAGGCGACGTTGTTTGGCGGGAGGCCTCGGCCGGGGGCTGGGCCGGGGAGCCGGGCCGACGAGGGGACGAGGACGGCAGAGAGAGGCCAGGGACGGAGGGTTCGAGGAAAGGCCCCGCTGCAGAGGGGGAAACTGAGGCCCGGAGGAGACTGGAAGTGGCGGGGCAGGAATCTGGCCCCGGGGCTGCTCCCGCGGGGGGCCCGGGCTCCTTCGGGCTGGAGATCCACGTGCCTCGGACGGGCTCGCCTACGCGGGCGGGGGGCGGGGGGCGGGGGGCGGGGGGCGGAGCGCAGCCCCGGGCATTGCCTTGGCCTCGCTCTGCCTCGGTTTCTCCAAACCGTGAAATGTGTTAGTAGCGGCACCTGCCTCCCAGGCTTGTGTGAGGATCGAAGTCAGGCGGATGCCTCGTAGGGCAGGGCCTGCACCGCCTGCACCGGAGACCGGGGGGAGGGAGAGATGTGGGGGAGGGGTCTGTTCCTGACGATTGAAGACGACTGGGGGGGAGGGGCGAGTTGGGCTGGAGGTGAATGGGGCCCGGCTTGAAAGGCTGTGTATGTGCACTAGGGATCTGCGGAGGAAGAGGCTTGTCAGCTGCTTGAGTGCAGGCCCGGCTTTCCCCTCTTTTTGTATCCCCATCACTTGGCGCACCCCTGAAGAGTTACCGAGGCCCTGTCTGAGAAGGGTCATCTGAGGGTGCTGATGTATCTCTGTGGGCATCCAGTGGCCATCTGGTAATCAACAGTGGTGTAACGGGTTGGTGAGAAAGAAGCAAAGGTGTTAGTGTTAGACTTCACCTTTATGTATAAAATTGAAAAAGAGTTCCTGCCCTCCATTTCTGCCAGCCTTCTCGTGTCGATCCTCTTTATAACCCAGCCGTTTTTATTATTACAGAAATCCTTGCTTCATAACCTACTAAAGTGTATGGGAAGAAGGCTGTTACCCCAAGTGACAAACTCAGAAAGGGTGATTCACGATAAGGCAAAACTGCCCAACCCTAACCCTTCATTCTTCTCACCCCCATCAAGCTGCCAAGCAGAACAAAGCTACCATACGCTTTGCTGCACTCTTCGGGAATATTCCCACAAGGCTCAACTATGTTGAACCAGACTGGCTTCAGCCATGTTACACATAACTCCCCAGGGCATCTAAAAAACAGTGCCTTAAATGCAGTTAGTGCGTGCCCCCACCAGAATGCCCCATTTGATCCAAATAATACTGAATTGCTATTGGGAACTGTGTATCAATGTACTGCCCAGCCCTGGAACTTTCCAGACTACTGTACTGCACCTTGGCGACCCCTTCCCTGAAGAGATGTGTCCTGTTTCACATTTCTATAGTGGCTTGAGGGTAATCTGACCTTGCTTTGTTAACTAACTTTATAGTTAACCAATTGAGCTTGTGGCACTGTGCTCACGTCCTTTGGGTAGATGTTTGCAGGCCATTTATGCTGCTTGCTTTTCAGATAGTCACAACTGTGCTAACTTGGTATACTACAAATCTCCTTTTTATGTAACTTCCCAACGTATCTAATTTTAATCTAAACTGCAGTCCCTCATTGCCAACAATGTATTTTTGTATATTAGTACTTGATATTCTCACATAATTCCAAATTGTTCTCAAGCATTGTTGAACCAAGGAAATTATATGAGTGTCTTTACACAGCCTCTCCATCTCGGCTGATTTACTGAAATCAGTGAAGTAAATGCTAGAAGTTACTTGGATTTGCATTTCTTTTATTAATGATTTGGTGCCTTTGTATTGTAGCCTTTCATATCTTTCGGTAATGATCACGTATACCATGTGTATGTATGTATAAAATCTGTGTGCCATGTCATGTATGTGGTACTCTGGCCTGTGGAGTCATCATCTTCCCAGAGTTTTTGTGCTCTACCATCACAGCTGTATATACCACAGCAAGTCTGAGTGGCAAGATGATTTTTTTTTTAATGTGACAAAGGGCTGTTCAAACCTTCTCAGGTTTGCATCTTTCAGATGACTTATATTTATCTGAAAAAATTTGAGACCCTTTAAATAAACAAGTAGGTACTTTTCCCCTCAAGATCGTTTGACATCTTCACTCATCCTCTCCAGCTTTGCTTCTGGAAGCCCTAGTCCCTTGCAAGGTTCAACACTTTCGCTTCATCAGTCTTCCATACTTCTCGGATCTTCAATATCTATCTAAAATAGTGTTCCTAGGCAGAGGTTCTCCCTCCATTCTTTAAAAGTATATATATTTTTTAACCCTTCATCTGAGACTTATATAAATAAGTCACTAGAAAACTTGAAGTAGAGAGGTAGAGTCAAGACGGCAGCATGAGCAAACCTTTTCTGGCTAACTTTTCCAGCACACCTCTTCCTTGACCTAGGTCAAGACCAGATTCTGATTGGGAAAGCCAAGAAAAAGTCAGTGAGCAGTTTAAGAGAGGTCTGTAATCACTAAGGTAGGGGCTGGCTAGGACCACAGCAAAGTCTGGATTCAGGTGGAAGGAAGGAATTCCAGTGCCCCAGGATGTAAAGGGAAAATTTTTGCACCAGAGCACTGAGCCAGGAAGAGATCCCAGGGGACCCTGAATTAGCGCTGACTGTAGGGATTGGTGCCGTCTGGCACCTCTGTCAGTCAGTACCCGCTTCCAGATCACAAATCCAGACCCTGACTGAGTACAGGGTCCTGATTACTGAGCACAAAGCAAATTCCAGAAACTTAGCTGTGTGTGTCCCTGAGCACAGGAAGAAGGCAGTGACTCATTTGTAATCTTTAAGCCCAACACAATCCTGCAGTGGTAAAAAGCAGGGTAAAAGGCCAAGCCAAGACCAATGGGGAGCCAGTAACCCTTCAACAACTCTGAACCTGCAGAACCTTCCGTTGGGCTAACAGTGATGGTGTCCGGCAAGAGTATACTGAAACTAAACTACATAGAAGTCAACAGACGTAAACCCCTGCCAGGAACTCAAGAGAGTTCGGTCTGGAAGGGAAGCAAAGATTTCTCACACTTCTTTGGAAGCATTAAAAACTTGCGGGCCCCTGAGCTGGGAAAGCAGCAGCAGCTTAGGCCTGACGTTCTGCCCCTCCCCCCACCAGGTGTGCAGAGAGCCCAATAGGAACAAAATGCCGAAAGTCAAAAATCAGGCTGGAAGAATAAGCAAAACCAAAAGAAGAACCAGAGCACAAAACAACTATGGTGACAGTGAAGCACCAAAAACTGTGTCTTAAAACAATGGCAAGCAAAGCCTCAACGAAAAAATGTCGATTGGACACAAGCTCAATGAGAATTATGAGAAGAGTTAAAAAGAGCAAAAGCAACATTAAAAACCCAGTGAGCGGTAGAGAGGAAAAGAAAGAAGAGGTGACCAAGAAAGTTATGAAAGTTGACCAAATGGAAGTTAACGACTATGCCATTGAGTCATTTTTAGTCATGGACTTTTTGTTACCCCTTTTGAGGTTTTCTTGGTAAAGGTACTGAAGTGGTTTGCCATTTTCTTCTTCGTTTCATTTTGCAGCTGAGAAAACTGAAGCAAACGAGTTGAAATGTCTTGCCCAGGGTCTCACACAGCTAGTGTCTTAAGGCCAGATTTGAACTCAAGAAGAGGAATCTTCTGACTGCAGGCCTGGCACTCTTATCCACTGTGTCACTTAGCTGCTCAAATGACTCCATGAGACATTAAGAACTAATAAATACAAAATCAAAAGACTGGAAAAGTAAAACATGCAACACCTGTAGGAAAAACAACTCACCTAGAAAGTAGATCAAGGAGAGATAATTTAATGATTGTTGACCCACCTTAAAGCCATGAACCAAAAAAGAACCTAGATATTATTATTATTTTTTTACTTATAAAGGAAAACTGGCCAGATATAGCCAAAAGGCAAAGTGGAAATTTTAAAAATCCACTACTTCTTGAAAAAAAACAGCCAAAACCCAGAACTCCCAGGTCGAGGAGAAAATACCACAAACAACCAGAAAGAAAGAATTTAATTAACCTGGGAGCCACAATCAGGATCACATAAGGTTTAGCAGCCAGTAAAGACCAGAGGACTTGGTATATAATATTCCCAGAAGGCACAGGATCTAGGATTGTAACCAAGAATAACGTACCCAGCAAGACTGAGTATAATCTCACAGGGGGAGAAATAAATGTGTAATGAAATAGAGGACTTGTAAAAGCATTCTTGATCAAAAGACCAAACCTGAATAGATAACCTGACATTGAAACATAGGGCTTGAACGTAAAAAGTGAGATCACAAAAGAATAAAAACATTAAGTTGTCTTCTTCATTATGTAGTTAGATGATAAATGTAACTCCCTCAGAACTTTGTTATCGCAGGGATTTTAGAGGAAGGGTAGACAACCTGCATGTGATTGTGTTTGGCCAATCTCAAAAGAAGAATGGAATGGATGCGGAAGAATGCATTGAGAGGAGAAAGAGGAAAAAGGGGAGAAATTATCTCCCAAAAATGAAGTGTACAGGTAAGAGTATACAGTGGAAGAGAGCAGGCAATAGTTGAACCTTTCATCAAAACTTTTTGGAGGAGGGAAGAATACAATATACAGAAGGGTACAGAAATTCATCTTACCTGAAGGGACTCTCACCTGGACTGATTAGATTCCATTGAACTACTAAAAGGAACTGTTTTTTCTTGAAGAAGGAGGGGGAAAAATAGGTCTAC